ATGGGCCCAAGCACGTAGTCTTGCTGCACATGGCGACGAGGGACGAAGATGCGTCCATCAATAGTGTTTTTCTCTCTAGCCTTGTACTTCTCACATTCTGCATCAATGATCCTCTTTAGGGCCACAGATGGGCTCGTACGCTCTACGACCGGTACTGAAGAAGAAGCCATTGACAGTATGCTTTTCTTGAAAGTGAAACCGAGAAAGGAAGTAGAGAGAAGCCGAAAATTGGTAGAAAGAGGGGTTGTGCGTTAAAACAGCAAGGGGTTTCAGAGCACGAAACAAAAGGGTTTTTTTTAAAGCTTTTGTGTCTGAAAATATATTGCATAAGTTGTTAAGTATTAGAAGTACGAATACAAAGAGCTTCCTTCAATATTGATACTTTTGGAGGGAAAAACAAAGCCCAGATATTGAGGCTAGCTTCGAAGTAAGATATTTGGCTTCGAAGCCAAGTTTTAACGCCAAAAAAACAACGGCTTCGAAACAGAGAAGTCGGCTTCGAAGCAAGTTTCCATACCCAAAAAATATAAGAATACTCGAGTGTTTATTTTACTTCAAAGGGTTTAAAGACCTGTTTTTAGGTTTTTAACAAAGGTAATGTCCTTCGAGGCAAAACTTGAGATTCTTTAAGGATGGGATTTGGTGTTCGAAACATCAAAAGCAAATCGATCATAATGACAATGACTAGATGTTGATTATGGTCAAAACAGACTTTAAGTATAAGATTGCTAGATCCGAAACACTGTTTCTAATTGAAAATCAGCCAAAGCTGTCAACTTTATTCCACAAATTGGAAAAGTTCATAATTGGCTCTTTTAATGTTTCATTTAAAACAATTAAGTCCATATTCGAAGGATGAAATTGTTCAATTCGAAGCTCTGAATTGACTTTTAAAAGACAAGTGGAAGCACAGTCAAACAATGCCAAATGAAGAAGAATTTTGTTTATATTCAAGCTAAAGCGATTACATCAGATGACCCTATCTCGGTATAAACTCGAGCTCATAAAAATAAGGAATGGAATAAATAACAAGATCATGAAATTTAGTCCAACAATGATCAATAAATTTTTGTTCTTTCCTTATTCTATCTTCTATGTCTTCTAGCATTGGCTGCATAAGTTGATGTGTTCTCACTTCGTAGTAGAGCTCTTCAGCCTTTATTTCGAAAGACACCTCTCTCAATCCTTGTTCCAATTCGTCAATGTCTAAGTCATCCCAATACGCAAAATCTTTATTCTTGAAATCACCGAATTCTTCAATGAAGTTCTCTGCTTCGTACTGAGCATGAATTCGAAGAGACGAAAGTTGGTCTAAAGATTGTGTAGTAGCCATAGAATTTCGATGCCAGTGGAGAAGCAATCGAAGTTAGTCCAGAAACATATGAAGTTCTGCCTGGGCAAGGGGATTAAGGACATGGCCCCTAGTCAGAATATCACAAGCCCATCCAAGGTTCTTGAGAGAGACTTCGTCCTCAAGAACATTAAAAGGCAAGTGAGAGAAAGCTGCAAGCAGAAGTTAAGCTTGTTTCTGCTCAGCTGGAGTAAGAGAAGGTAGAGGTTTATAAGGTGGAAAGACGTTATTCATGGATAGGGCAAGCTTCAGTCTCTCTGTCCAGCAAAGTGTTGGTAGAGGAGAAGGTATGAATACTTCAACTTCGGGAGACGAAGAAGAAGGTGTGGACGCTTCTATTTTTGGAGATGACACGGGAGCAAAAGGAACAAAGGCATTAATATAATCAAGCCAGTCAGAAGAACAAATCTTCGCCTTCTGAGCTAAGAATGATGGGTTGTACCCTTGTGCTTCTTCTAGGCGGCGGGCAGCGTGCACTATCTTTGTAGGCATAGAGGATGTATACCATGCTACAAGCAGATTCTCCTCCAGACTACGTCGATGGTCAATGGGCAGGTAGGGATAGACCACTGAACTTTGAGCATAGGAAGGAAACTCTAAAGGGTCAGTGAACTCAACAAAATGATGGTTGATTCGCTCCTTCAAATCACAGGTCTCAAGTGTTGACCAGCTTGTCCAGTCAGAACCCTCAGAAGAGGAAGAAGTTGCAGCTTTATCCCATACAGAGACTTGTGAAGAAGAGTTTCTCAAGTCCATATTTGCAACTTTTCGAATCAAAGGTTTGAGAGCAGTTTGTTCGAATTGTAAGGGTGAGTTAGAGGAAGAACTTCTTATGTCTATACCTGTAACTTTCTGAATTGAAGAATTAAGAGCAATGTGGTCATAATCCAAAGGTTGGTAATTTGCAAAGGCATCCATGACTTGAATATAGAAATGTAGATAAAGGTGGCTAATAAATGCATGGACGTTCTTTCGAGGAGGAACAGCATCGACATATGACTCTTCGTGTGCTCGATCACTGGAGGAAAAAATTAATTCGACCATGAAATGTATCAGTCTGTTCGAATGCTAAGACAGTGGAAGTGCTTAAAGGATTAAACGAGAGTTTAATATAGATGGTGAGTGACAGTTACATTTCTGGGTAAATGCAAAACCCATGCACGTTCTAAGACGTGGGGAAAAGACCCTGATCCACTAATATCACTAAGTCTTGGGTATATTAGTGCGGGAGGTAATGTTGGCTACATATTTTGTATGAGCCAGTGACAATTCAACGTGTGGCAAAGTAAGGGTAATATGGGGAAACCAGTCAAGTCTTCGATCCTGATCATACACGTGGCGGTTAAAATTGGTTGTTATAAGATCTGAGTGACAGTAGATCAACAAAGAGATGCAAAGTGACGTGGCTTCAATGATTACTCACATTCAAATTCAAATATAGGAGGAAAGCCTAACCGCAAGTGAAAGCGTAGTGGAACTGTTCATAAGGCAGCATGATCAGCGATTACAGAGGAGCAGTTCGACAGTTTGAAGTGCAGTTCGATGGTCATCTTTGGGGAGTATAAATAGCAGGGAAGACCTCAGGGAAAGGGGGGGAGGCTCAGATCTAAAAAACCAGTCTTACTTTACATATTTCATTCCAATTTTTATATTTCCTGTTCTTTACATTTCTGTACTTTAAATTCCTGCACCACACTTCATTCATAGGAATAGTTTTCCAGTATATTGTCGCTATAAATCTCTACGAGGCTGAGTTTGGATCATTGTAAGTCTTTCATACTAATGAAATACTTCAATTGTTCTTTATTTAACTGTTCTTATGCTTAAATTCTCCTAAGGTACTAATGGTATGTGGACATGTAGAACAATAGTTGCAGAGGAGCATACTAAGCGCAGAAGTACAATTGCAGACGTGCAACAGTGCAAGGGTACGCTAGAGTATCGTACAGAGGCGCGAGAAGAATGTGCAGCAGCGGATTGTTGACAGTTCACAGGAACTTCCAGACAGAGAAATTGAGACAGGTAAAACGCAAGAGTGCGTGCCAAGGAGTGGCAAGTCTTATTTCTCTATGGTGGTTTCTTTAGTTCCATGGCAGCAGATGATAGAGTTGATGCAGATCTCTCAATCAAGCTTGACGCAGGGAGACCAGAAGCCATGGGTGCGAGCACTATGCACGGAGTTGCATAATGGTAACTTGTACAAAGCGGTGGAAGTTGTCTTGGCAGAAGGGCTAACTGTCAAACATCAGTACGGACGTACAAGTGAGACAGAACCGAACATCAGGGATTGCAGCACAGACAACGGGCGTATGAGATCGCTGGGAAGTTGTTCTGAAGTGCAGAAAGCAAAGGCTGGTTGTTCAGAAATAAGCTCCGAGCAAGGAAAATTGAGGATGTTGATGTGTCAAACTCTGAAGTTTTCTAGTTGCTCCAGTGTTCATCATGCAAGGAGTTGCACGGTAATGCAAAGGTATCCCGAGCAGGGGGTGCAGGACATCCAATCAGGGGGTGTCAAGATATCTTGGTTACGCAAGTTCAAGCATAGCAAGTGAAGACATCCGAGACACGAAGCGTAGAAGAGATCTGAGGGAGATAGGAGCAGAGGCTCTCTCCAAATCAGAGAGTGGTATGAGTTGAGTTGAGGATGTAGGATTCCCTCCTCTTCTTGTATCTCTGGTGTATTATCTCTAGCTTCAGGGGATGTAGCGTCTCAATGAGGAGATGAAGATTCTGTTGAAATTTGGGCGTGACAAGATTAGCAGCAGTGTGTGCAGTTTATCACCTCACATGGGTTGAGGGGGTGATTTGTTGGCTATATTATTATCATCCCATGTGAGTGGCTAACCCACCTTAGAGAGAGTGGGGTGGTTGGAGACCACTTTAGAGAGAGTGGGAGTGGCACCTCCCCACTAACCAATCCACTCACCATTGCTGTCCAGCTACCTTCCCTCATGATATGTATAAATAGAGGTTGAGAGGAGAGTAGACAATAAGAGAGAACCAAGAGAGAAGAGAGTGAGAGGTGTGAGGTGGAGAGACCGTCTCTCTCGGTGTGAGAGAGGGAGACGGGTGAGTGGGTGAGTGAGGAGAGTGTGAGCTCCTCCCCTATTATAATCTTTCTGTAATCTCTCCATTGTTATAGTGATAACCGGTTACTCTCCCGTGGACGTAGGCTTTAAGGCCGAACCACGTTAAATATGGTTTCTCCTTCTGTGTGGGTGTGTTTTTCTACTTGGTATAATTTCTGGAAGGTCTTGGGCGGGATCCCCGATCCCAACATTATTATCTCTCATTATTTAATGGGACACCTTTCCACTCATTAATTAACAAGAGATAAAAATGATAACTAAAGAGTCACTATAGGTTCGTTCAAAGAAATTGAGTGTTCCACACATCAAACTTATGTTCTATTTTTTGCCACATGACGAAAATGCCATCCAGAATAAAAATCATTCCGCTCTTTTCAAGCCATGCAACAAAAAGCAATAGCTTTCCAGAATAAAGACAATAAAAACTCATTCAAAATGGAATTGAATTTCAAATTCTGGAATGAATACATAAATCTTGAGCAATTCAAATAATAATCAAAGAAAAGAAAGTACTGAAGAGTTAGATAGAGCTAACTGTGATTCACAGCAAATACCTTCCATCAATTGCATCCATAATGTGACTCTGTCCATTTTGATCCACATCGATAGCAGAAATGAAATCCACACCTGTACCACACAAAAAAAAAACCAAAACAAACACATAATAATTTGAATATGATTATGTTTCACTTATGGTCATCTTTCTAAACTATTAAAAGTAAATTATATTCATGAGGTTTAAAAAAAAAAAAAATACAATTAGTCTCGCACTATTAACATAATTATACTGGATTATATTGAAATTTTAATTCACATAATACTTATATCATTTTTCATATGTAATACGTAATTTTTGTAACAATCAAATTATCAAAATGTATCAATATCATATATCAGAAAAAAATTGATATTGTATCAATCAATAGGATAAATATTTAAAACCATGTATCCTAACCTAGAAGTTACCTGCAAGTAATGTGCAAACATCCTTCATCTTTTTCAACATAGAACTTGCAATTGGGACACCTCCTCCATTTCTTCTTCTTAGCAAGCTCCATTGCCATCAAATCTTCACTCTCTCTCTCCCCCTTGCTCAACCCCTGAAACTCAACACACTCCATCCCATCATGCCATGAAACATTGCATTGAGCACAAAACAATCTTCTACAATTAGGGCACTCAGACACAGTCACAACTTCACCACCATCATCAACCAACACTGCAGAACAGTCCTTAAAAGGACAGTAAAATTTCTGAGAAGCAAGAATGACAGAATCACAGAGCGCATTTTCCCACCGATCAAACACTAATTTGGGTATAATGGAACGACAAGCCTCGGGCTGGAAAACCCCTTCACAATTCAGTTCTGGACACTTCACCATCCATATATTTTCTTGAATTTTCACTGCGACATGTTTGGCAATGCAGTCTGAGCAAAACAAATGAGTACAAGTGTTGTTTTCAAACATTGCTGATTTGGGTTTTGCGTCCATGCAAATCTTGCAGAAAACTAGCGATGATTCATTGGATTTTCTTGGTTTGACTGTGTCTTGATGTTCTGTTTCTAGAGTTTGGATTCTCTTTCTTGAAGAGGATGGCACGAGAGCTTCTTGCAACTGTAACTCTTCAGCGTACTTTTCATCTGAAATGGGGAATATTTCATCATCATCGAAGAGTGCCGAGAAATAAAAATCATCCACAAACAGATGATTATTATTGTCTCTTGATGTTCCAGCCATTTTTTATCTTTCATACTCTGTTTTCATACTACGTTTTATATGAAGGGTGACCCTTGGTTGTTTGGAGAAGATGATGGAATTGGCATTAATTGGGAGGGATGAACAGAGTTTGAACGACAAAGCTCAACAACCCAGAGAACCAGCAATTCCCTATGCCAGCCAGTCTCACTGAGAATTCTAGGGAAGAAAAGTTTTCTAGGGAAAATGGAATTTTTCACTCTCCTTTGGATAGTCATGCATTTCAAATCAACTGATTTGAAATTAAATAAATAATAAAATAAGATAAGGCTTTTTAAAAAAATAATAATAATAAAAAGTTATTATTAAATGATTAAGATGAAATCCTTTGATTTAAGATTTATATCTATCCAAACAGACAATTTGTAATAAAAGATCCTCCGGTGATAATTACTCATCCCGACTTCCTTTCCTCACTTTTTCCAGCCCGAATGATTTAACTATTATAGCTTTTAAATTTCAAAAATGTTAAAAATGTCAAAAGTTTTACTAAAATTTTTACATATTTTACATGTGAATTCCACAGGTATTTGGTAAAAATTTTAGTAAAATTTTTTTTTTGAATCTCTAGCATTGCTCTTTAAATTTTTATAACTTTCTACATAGAATAATGTTATATGTACCAATTAATTTACTAACTAGTATACTAACAGATTATGTGGCATAATTTTAGAAGTTTTGGGTATTTATAATTTGTATAATAGGTGAGATCACATAATACTAGTTGGTACACTAGTGTGTACATTAATTAGTGCATATAGCACTGCTGTTTTATATAAGTGGAGGTAGTAGTATTTATTTAATGTTTTAAATACATATTTTGTTGACAAGTATTTTGAGGAAAATTATAGAATGTTCCCAGAATATTACGGGTTTGTACTCCTTAACTAATTTTCATTTAATATGCCCATCATATTCTCCAATCACTCAACACAATACCCCACCTACCCACCTTCCCACCTTCTCCATCAATCACAATACTATAAAATACCGGATAAGGGGTCACTACTGTGCGTGAGGCACAGCAGTGACTGTGGTGCATCTATTTGAGGTGTATTATGGCCTTATTTTTATGATCCAAACCGTTCATTTTGTAGGGTTTGTTGAGTGCTTCATGCCTACCAAAAATCATATTAATCGGATATCAACAACTATATGATCAAATTGCATATTATTTATGTTATTTCTCAAAATAAAACTTATTATTTATTTTTTTTGTTATCGATCATATAGTTGTTGATATCCGATTAATATGATTTTTGGTAGGCATGAAGTACTCATCAAACCCTACAAAATGGACGATTTGGATTATAAAAATAAGGTCATAATACACCTCAAATGGATGCACCACAGTCACTGTTGTGCCTCACGCACAGCAGCGACCCCTCATCCTAAAATACCACTTATTTATATTTCGAAATTACTGAATAATTATCCATATTTTGAGAACACTTATTAAGAATGCATAAAGAGATTGAGAAAAGTAATAAATGTCGAGGGGTGTAAATTTGGCCCGGCCCGGCCTATGTCGGGCCTCACGGGCTCCCATCAAAATTCAGATCTGGCCGAGCTAGGCTGGACCACGGGCCACAGAATTAGGCCCAGGCCCAGGGTGTATTCGAGCCTTGGGCGGGTCGGGCCAAGCTGTTAGGCCTGGGCTCGGACTTGGGCGGGCCTAAACAATTTTTTTTTTATACTAAAATTTTATTATTTTTCACTAAAAAAAACATTGGGCCTCGAGTGGGCAGGGCCTCGAGCGGGGCCTTTAGTGGGCCTTAAGCAAGCAATGGGCCGGGCCCACAGGCCGAGCCAGGCTTCAAAATGATGGCCCAGACCCTGGCCTAGAGTCTCAGAATGGGCTCAGGCCCGAGCCCACCCCAGACCGCCCACAGACTATGGGCCATTTTTACATTCCTATAAATGTCTTTTAAAACATAACTTTTTGTTGGTATTATGACTAAAATTCCCTCACTTCCTTTCTTTCTTTATTTTGATTTTGATTTTATTTTACTTTTTTTCAGCAAATTTTTCAAACCCTTTCGTTTCTCACGCGTTCATTATCTTCATATTTCATTTTGTTTTTATCGGTGAGAACATTGCTAAACAAAAAGAATATAGATCGATATAATGATACAATATTAATTTTAAGTAAAATTATTTTCAATATTAAGTGAATAACAAAATCTTTTTATTTTTATTTTTATTATTATTAAAGGTGGGAAGCAATTTTATTTTAATATCTAAGAAAATTCCATTTTTCATTTGATTTTAATCATTACCAATCAATAATTGAAATTTTTTCCATATTCAAGTTTACCGATTATAAATTATTTTTAAATTATCATGAACAAAATTTAATTTTTTTAGAGAAAAAATAATCATTATAATTGTTTTCAAAAGTCACGTTTTATATATGAAAAAAATAATATTCTAGTTATTCATAAAAGTACTACACAATTAATCCTTTTTTTTAACTGGGGGCATAGTTGTCATATTACAAAACTAATTGTAAACATTTAAAAATGAGTGTTGCTATTAGCACTTGTCTAAATTCTTTAAACCTCCCAATTTCAATTTTTTTTTAATTATAACTATATCCTAAAGTAAAATTATACTAAAAGACATCATTTAATAGAACACTCACCTACCAAATAAAAACTAACACTCTGCAATATTGTACACTCACCCACACCCACACCCACACCGGCGCCGCCTGTGGGAACCTTTCTTAACCTCTAGATATATGTATTCTACCTTTTTAAACCCTAAACATTTTGCTCTTCATAACTAACCAACATAAACCCTAAACTTGTTACTCTCCATAACCATATTAAACCCTAATATATTCTCTTCATTACCATCATAAACCCTCCTGAACCAAAAGGCTCTTTTCAAGCCCAACGTATTACTTTTCATCAGTTATTTCACCTTGTAGAGCAATCGAGGACGATAACAACAATTTTGATAAGGCTGGCATTCTATTGGTAAGTTTATATGTTTTGTATTAACATTCTAGGTTGTTTTCAATGGTTGTTTTATTCGAGTTGTTCGGTACTGATTTGCCGACTGTTAAGATTATGTTTGGTAAACACAGTATTGAACACAAATATTTAGTTCAATATATGGGTTCTGAACAATGATGCAGATAGTCGGTACTGGCGTACCGAACGGTTCGATATTTATATCTTTAACACCAGATTGTGTGGGTGTTTAGGAAGTTGCTATTTTAGTAGGCTAAAATTTTTGTGTTTGGAAAGATGATTGGATTTTTTTTGTAATTGGATGCGATATTTGTGAGAGAAAAATTGAAATAATTATGGGTTTGATGTGACATTTTGTCTTATTGGCTATTTTAGTTTATTTTGCCTTTTTTTGTGGATTTTAGCCTAAAAGATGCTAAAATTTTTGTTGCCAAACACCCCCTTGTGTGTTTCGTAAGGGTTTTACCTGAGAGGAATTTCTAACGAGTTTTCTGCAATAGTAGACAGGAATTTCCAACGAGTTTTTCAACAATATTCTTTAGACATCGTCGAGTCAATTCCTCCTTTCCTTAAGAGTTGACAGGAATTTCAATGATAGACCATCGATGCAATATTCTTCACTAACATAATGGTGTTTATTGATGCGATGACCGTCAGCGTTCTTTTCAACAAGAGATGAACGGTCATTAAAAGGAGAATGAGAGAGTGTGCAAAATTAGGTGAGTGTGCCATTGGGTGTGATAATATTATTAATAGAGGTAAATCTGGTATTAAGTAGAGTATTTAAAGAAATCTTATTGAAATTTAGGATTTAGGGTGAGGGTTAGGGTCCAAAGAATTTAGCCAGATGCTAATAGCAGTCCTTTAAAAATACAACTTGGTAGCCATTTATGGTTAACTATTTCCTATAAAAATAGAGTAAAAGCTATTAGTTAGTGCATTCTTAACAAGTGCCGGCACTTATTAACAAAAGAAAAATGGTACAAGTCTCAAATTTTCTACCAAACAAATGACCAAATGTCTCACATGGGTATGGGTCTACTCATACCCGTGAGACCTTTAGTCATTTATTTGGTAAAAATTTTAGTATACCAAGCATTACCCTTAACAAAATCCTTATAAAAAAATATTTTTTAATTTAGACAGTATTTAATTTTTTACTACTGACTATACGAGTGAATATAATTGTACATATTTAATGTCACCTTAACATATGTCTTGCGTCATATGTTAACAAAAACCTTTTACATAGTAAGACATATTAATGGGTTACGTAATTTGAAATTAACAAAAATATTAGTTGCATCTATCTATCTATCTATATCTATACTTGACATGGGTAGGCCCATAAAGGCTACAGCCCACTATGAACAACCCAGGCCCACCACTTAGGGCCCAATACATAATCTAATTAATAAAACCCAGCACTGCTGAAGCCCCACATAGCAATAAGAACTAATGGCATCAAGACACATGGCAAGAAAAGGGCAAGCCACAGCAGCAGACAAAGATCTGCAAAGTTATTACTACGCCACATCGCCATTAATGAGGCCCCTTACAGCATTTATTGCGATAACCCCTCTCCATCGGGACAACACACCCCCACCCTGAACAAGGTAAGCTACAACATAGACTTTCGGCCAAGGTGACAGGTCGGAAGGGACAACGAAATGATTACCAAGGATATAAGCAGACGTTGAAGACAAGAAGAAGGTTAAGCTTTCTATCTCCAATCTCGCTCTATACTCCACCCCTCTTTCTAACTTGCTCATCGGAGGGTTCGCTGGGGGACTCCCCGTTCCCCGTTGAACTCGTGTGCAGGTCTTCTGGTGGGCTTGGTCATTCGGATATAGGTGTGAGGAGCGTGGATCAATCCAACCCATTCAGTGGAACGAACCGTGTCATTAGTTGGCGCCGCCTGTGGGAACCTTTCTTACTCTGTGCGTCAGTTGTGCTCATTGTCACCGGAGGCCCTTTCCTAATAACCCCTTCCTGTCACCTGCGAAGGTGAATGGTCACGACTAGATCCATAGCTTTCCACCCCAATGTTCCCGACCACCAACCCAACCCTCCTAATCCAAACAACCCACCACAATACTTTACCGAGCTCACTAACAGCATTAACCGCCTTACCGAGCAGAACCAAGCTCTAAT